TGTGTGGCCCCCGGCCGCGTCGCGTGATCGCCGCTCCTCCGACGCCTGGCGGGTGCACCCGACGGGCTGCAAGCCCCTCTCCACCTTCCGGCAGAACAGCCTGGGCTGCATCGGCGAGTGCGGAGTGGACTCTGGCTTTGAGGCCCCGCGCCTAGGCGAGCAGGGCGGGGACTTTGGCTATGGCGGGTACCTGTTTCCGGGCTACGGCGTGGGCAAGCAGGATGTGTACTACGGGGTGGCGGAGACTAGCCCCCCGCTGTGGGCGGGCCAGGAGAACGCCACGCCCACCTCGGTGCTCTTCTCCTCCTCCTCTTCCTCCTCCTCTTCCGCCAAGGCTCGAGCTGGGCCCCCTGGTGCTCATCGCTCTCCTGCCACCTCTGCAGGGCCTGAGCTGGCCGGACTCCCGAGGCGCCCGCCGGGAGAGCCGCTCCAGGGCTTCTCTAAACTTGGTGGGGGCGGCCTGCGGAGCCCCGGCGGCGGGCGGGATTGCATGGTGTGCTTTGAGAGCGAAGTGACTGCTGCCCTCGTGCCCTGCGGACACAACCTGTTCTGCATGGAGTGTGCAGTGCGCATCTGCGAGAGGACGGACCCGGAGTGTCCCGTCTGCCACATCACAGCCACGCAAGCCATCCGAATATTCTCCTAAGCCCCCTGCCCCATGCCTCCTGGGCCTACCCCAGGGGCCCACCCTGGACCTGTTTTCCACTAAGGCCTTTTGGAAATCAGTGATTTGAGGGGCAAGGTGTTTAGAGATACTCACTCGCCGGGAGGGAGAAGGGAGGCGGTGGTGGCTGGAGGGTGGGCCACTTTCGGAGCCTCTGGTGACCCTGTCCTGGAAAAATTGGGAAGGGACCAGACCGAAAATTTTACTAGAGTTGCAACTCTGATACCTCAACACACCCTTAAATCTGGAAGCAGCTAAGAGAAACTTTTGTTTTGCCAGAGGTGGCCACTAAGGCAACCTGATCCCCCTCTGCCCACCTCCCCAGTGTCTCTCTACCCCACCCTCTGTGGAG